TTTTCTAAGTGTGCAGAGACACATGGGGGTGGGGGGTGGGTGAGGCCAGTGGCACCCTGAGGTCATGGGAGACTTCAGGGTTCTTTTGTTGAAACCCTCATTCCCAGTGCCCCGGGCTGTTGCCAACTGGGACATAGCAGGTTTCCCTTGTCAAGCTGGGGGCATTTTTCCAGTATTACTGCTGTGCTAATGAGAAGAGGCCGCAGAGTCTCTCACAGGGAGGACCCCAGAGGAAGGAAGCTGAAAAGGCAGGGCTTGCCTCCGCATAACCGGGGACACCACGCGCCACTTGCAAGCCTGCCCAAGCCCAGCCAGGCAGGGAGCAGCCTCACCCGCAGGAACCTCACCAACCAACCCTGCCGGCACTTTAAATTTAGACTGGAGCTCTCCCACCCTAGCCTCACAAGGTGAAAGTCAGGGTGTCAACTCGGGCCAACTCAGGCTCTGGCTGGGAGGACCAAGGTGAGAGTCTGCCCCGTGTTCCCTCCCGTGGTCGGGATTCCCAGTGGTCTGGGATTCTTGCGGAGTGACAGCTGGGAGCACGGATGCAAGGCACACTGGCCCTCTCCCACCTCACCTCTTCACTGCCAGGGGTCCTCCCCTGGCTCACAGCTGACCCCTCCGACAGCTCCACCTCTCACTCTGGCCAGAGAAGCTACTCTTGTCTTAAGTGTGCCTGGATGAGACGGGACCCACCCAGAGAAGGGCTTTTCAATTTCTCAGCCTAACCGCACCTGTGGTGTTTGCACTGCAGACAGTGATAAGCTCATAGGGTCAGTGAGAAGGACGCAGGCATCCAGGTCAGGGGCCAGGCTGACTACCCCAGGAGAGAGAACGGCCCTCCCAGAGCGAAGGGCAGACTCAGAGTCCTCCGCCTCGGAGCTCCCGAGGTTCTCGGATCAGTGGGCACGTGGACATTGTTGAATTTCAGTGGCAACTCTAGACTCTACCCACCTGCTGTGATGGTGGCAAATGTCCCATGTGGGGGAGACTGGAATTGACCCCTGTTAGGAACACACACAAAAGCCACACCTGTTGGTTGATAGGGTGAGGAAGGGGAGTGCAGGAGGAAGCCTTGTGCGGACACCACAGGCTGTAATTAGCTGATAATGAAGTTCACCTGGGGCGATCGCCCACAGGCGCTCTTTGCTTGAGGAGTGTTTTCAATTCTTTGTGGTCACAGGGCCTGATGATTCTCTCCTGTAGGGTCCATTGTGGCCACTGAGGCTTTTCTGTAGGACCACCCATTGCAGAACATTTGGTTGGGGTGGTGCTGTATCTTGAGGGTTCGGCTGCTGCCTGGGACACCGGATTCCCTATCAGAGCGCCTGCTTACACTCCTCACTGCTCTGCTTCCAAGGTAGGACTGGGCCCCCAGCGCGCCCCCGTGGGGTGCAGGTACCGGGGCAGCAGCTTAGCTGGTGTGCCACGTGCCCATCCGTTTCCATGCTACCTTCACATAGGCAAATACATCAGTTTTTCCATCATAACTTCTTGCCTGTATATTTTGAAAGTCTCCACTTCATGTTCACCAATATTTTCTTTTAGCCCTCTTGTTTTTGTTTTACTAAAATATTTTCCTTCAAAGTTCTTGTCAACTCAAGGTGTTAACTTTACCAAACAAATTTCATTTATTTTTAAGGCTTATATTCTTTGAAAGGCAGAGTTACAGAGAGAGAGAGAGAGAGAGAGAGAGAGAGAGAGAGAGAGAGAGAGAGAGATCTTCCATCCTCTGGTTCACGCCTCCAAATGCTAGAACTGGGCTGAGCCGAAGCCGGCGTTTCTTGTGGGTCCCCTTTGTGGGTGAGGGGCTCAACCACCTGAGCTACCTTCTGCTGCTTTCCCAGGAGCATCAGCAGGGAGCTGGAGCAGAAGTAGAACAGCTGGCGGCTTCACCAGTTACAATTCCAGCTTCAAGCTTCTCTTGTGTGTGCGGACCCCATTCTGTGGGCCCTGTGCCTCTCTTCACATGGGTGCTAAATCCCATTGCTAGCTGCTACAGTGAGGTCAGTGTTTACCTGCCACACTCCCAACGTCGGTATCTCGTGGACCATGTGAGGCCAAACCACTGTGGGAGTGATACGTATTTGCAGGCTGGCTTCTTATTTTAAAAATATTTGTAAGTTTTTATTTGGAAGGCAGATTTACAGAGAGAGAGAAAGTTCTTCCACCCACTGGTTCACTCCCCAAATGGCCACAGTAGCCAGAGCTGAGCCAATCTGAATCCAGGAAGGAGGAGTTTCTTCCAAGTCTTCCATGTGGGTGCAGAGTCCCAAGGCTTTGGGCCATCCTCCGCTGCTTCCCCAGGCTCCACGCAGGGAGCTGGATGGGACGTGGAACAGGTGGGACACAAACTGGCGCCCATGGACAGCTCTTGAGGTGGAGAATTAGCCTGCTGAGTTGTGGCACTGGCCCCTGCAGGGCAGGGACACGCTCCTCTCCTTGCAGTCCCAGGCCGAGTAGATTGAGCTTGCAGCAGCAGGCAGGTGCTGAGTTAGAAGGTGGCAGGTAGAGAGATTCAATCCTGTAACAGGCTCAGGAATTGCCCACCCCCCACCCCCAATTCCAGAGTCTCATGTTGGTGGTGCTAAGAGGTTGGGAGGTTAATCCAAGTGTGGGATTGAGTGGGAGTCTTACAGAGGTGCCTGAGTCTCAGAGCTCCCTGCCTCCTGCCAGGTCATGCCCTGCACCATTTCCGGACTGTGCCAACAACAGCACCACGGCTGGGAGCTGAACCAATAATAGCTGCTTGATCTTGGACTGGGAACCGCCAGAAAGGCACACAGACCTCTTCTTTATAAACTCAGGCTTCCCTGGGTATTTCCCCTCTAGTAACAAAAGCCCCGAGCTGCTGGTCACACGGGCGCTCCCCCAAGCAGCACCATTCGCTGAGATAGTTGAGCATCAGTGCTCCAGTGCTGCGGTCACTCCTGAGAGTTTGATGGTAAAATGAAAGCGCTGGCAGGAGGGGCTGTGCTTTCCCTGTCACCTGCGGCTGCTCCTGCATGGGACATAGCCACTGCACCTCCTGTCTGAGAGCCGAAGGAGGCTGGAAGGTCAGACAGAGGAGCGAGGGCCTGTGTGGACCTGGTCATGCTCTACGCTCCTCTCCTTAATTTTTAAAGATTTCATTTATTTATTTTAAAGGCAGAGTTACAGAGAGAACGAAGGCGAGAGGGAGAGTGTCAGAAAGACAGCAAGCTTCCACCCACTAGTTTATACCTCAAATGGCCATAACGACTAGGCTGAAGCTGGGGGCAGATGCTTCTGCCAGGTCTCCCACATGGATACAGGGACCCAAATTCATGGTCCATCTACTGCTGCTTTCCCAGGCGCAGTAGCAGGGAGCTGGATCACAGTGAGCAGCAGGGACTCAGACTAGCACCCGCATGGGATACAGAGGCTTTACCTGCTAGACCAAAGCACCAGCCACCATGCTTTGTCCCTTGGTCTGGGTACTCAGTCACAGATGCCCTCCAACTCAGAAACTAACACAGAGGACACCTGTGACACACGGGTACTAGCCAATGGCGTCCCTGGAGAGCAGTGAATTCTTCCCTGGAGGCTGCGAAGCAGGGCACGGATGGCCACTCCCGACACTTCTGCCAGGCATGGAGCCAGAGCCCTGCTCAACCAGACAAGAAGAAAGAAGGAAAGAAAGGAGAGGAAGGGAAAGAAGGAGAAAGGGAAGGAAGGGAGGGAGGGAGAAAAAAGAAGGAGAAAGAGAGAGAGAAAGGAAGGAAGGGAGAAAGGGAAGGAAGGGAGGGAGGAAAAAAGAACGAGAAAGAGAGAAAGGAAGGAAGGAAAGAAAGGAAAGGAAAGAAAGAGAAAGAAAGAAAAAGAAAGAAAGAAAGAAAGAAAGAAAGAAAGAAAGAAAGAAAGAAAGAAAGAAAGAAAGAAAGAAAGAAAGAAAGAGAAAGAAAGAGAGAAAGAAATTGAGAGGATGTGCCAAGATCTACTCAGATGACTGGGCTGCCTGTGCAGGAATGGGAGGAAGCTACATCTGCAACAATGTAAGCAATAAATGATTATATTGGGACTGGGCTGCAGCCTGTCCCTCCTGCCCTTGTCCACACCAAGCTCCCCTCCACCCCCTGCCACTTGCTCCTTCCCTGGTTGCTGGCTTCCTGCCTGCCAGACCTGTCTGTCTTGTCCCCAAGACTGCTTGGTTGTCCAAGATCCAATCTAGGATGTTGAGGTGGGGGGGGAGACCTGATGGGAGCCCAAATCAGCAGAGGAAGGCGAGTTATTCTCAGAAAGCTGGCAACTCCTTCCCCCACCCCCACGCTCCTGTTCAGCCCAACAAGAGTTGAGGCTGGATGTGGGCTGCTGGGCCAGGTTCACATCTGGGGGAGGGGGAGGGAGCCGGGGAAGCTGGGATTTGGTGCAAGAACCATTGCCTCCCCATTCCTAGGGTGCTTTGCCAGGGACAGTGTCTGGCCTGGAACTGAGGGCTGTGCCACCTGCCCTGGCCATCTTCCTGCGGGGATGAGAAAAGGGTCGGACAGGGCGAGTCAGCAGGAGTTGCAGGCACAGCTGACCCCAGGGTCCCCTCGCAGGGGTGGCCTTCACATCCCCTGAGAGCATGGAGGATGGAGGACACCTGATGGAAACAATGCCAAGCAGGCGGACAGAATCCAGAGCTCAGGGCAGGGTCCAGCGGTCGGGGGGAGGGGGCGCACAAAGACAAGGCCCAGGAGGGGGCCGGGCAGCAGGTGCGACGGAGTCCCCAAAGTGGGAGAGGGGAGTGAAGAAGTCAGCTTTCACGAACCCTCGGCGTCGTGCGAGGTTGCTCGTGGGGAGGGTGCAGGATGGGATCAAGGCTGCCAGGGTGCTGAGGAGACCACTGGGCAAAGCGGAAGGAACCCAGCTCCTGGCGGGACCCCCGCCGCAGGCGCAGAGGCCGTCCCGCGGGGGCGTGGCGGGCTGGGGGCGGCGCCAGCGAAAGGGGACCGTGCGCGGCCGACGCTGCTGCAGAGCGCGCGCGGCGGGCGCAGGCAGAAGCTGCTGCTGGGCGGACGCGCGGGCCGGGGCCGCCATGGTGAAGATCAGCTTCCAGCCCGCCGTGGCCGGCGCCAAGGCCGACAAGGCTTCGGCCACGGCCTCTGCCGCAGCGCCTGCCCCGGCCGCCGCTGAAATCCTGCTCACGCCGGCCAGGGTGAGAGAGAAGCGGGGTTGGGAGGCTCCGAAGGCGGGTCGAGCTCCCCAAGGCAGAACGGCGCTGCGGGAGTGGGCTGGGGTCCGAGGCGCAGTCCTCGGGTGGTAGCGCTCGGGCTCCTTCCCAGGGTGATGGTAGAGGGAGGAGGTGCACAGAGAGGGACCCCAGTGTTCCCCCAGCCAGTGGAGGGGGTTGGGCGCCCGAGTTCGAGGAAGGGGGTTCATCTGCTTCCAATCAAGGGGAAGGGGCGTGAATCGGGGCCTCAGATTGGAGATTCCAGGAAGATTGGCCACTGTTCCCCCAAAGTGGAGCGGTGGGACTGGATTGGGTGTGTATGCGGGGTGTGGGGGTCAGCCCTGGAATTGACGGATCCGGCATGGTGATGAGGTGAAAACGAATCAGAACCCTCCGCCAGGATGAGGGCTAGGTGGTGAGGGGTGCAAGGCCAGAGGCGCCCCCCTCTCCTCTCGGTTTTCACATCCCGGGTTTCTGAGGTCCTGTGCGGTCTGGCGCACGACCCCACTCTCCAGGTTGTGCTCCAGCTTTGGGGACTTGTGCTTTCAATCGTAGGCCACGGTTTCTACTGGGTGGGCTGTGCAAGGTTGGAGGTGGGAAACCCGGGGGACGGCCCTACTGGCGGGCCAGCTGCTACAGCCTGGCCTTATTTTACTTAGGCAGAAGTGCCCTGAGGTTGGGGATGGCAGGTGCACGAAGCCCCACAGCCGCCTGCATGGAGACCCAACTCAGGGAAGTCTTTGTCGAGTCCACTTCCTTCCCTCTGCAGGCCAAGTTCATGGACTGGCCCTGGAGTGTTAAGGCGCCTGGAGAGAGTGAGCTGGGCCCTGGAAGGAGGAGGCACTAGGGAGAGGCCTCCGAGAAGGACATTAGGCTGGTCAGAGATCCTGTTGAGTGGGAGCTGTCAGCAGCCTGGTGAGGGTGGGGGCCCTTGCCCCTGCGTGGTTACCACAGCAACCAGGCTGGGCAAGTCAGCAGCCACCTGGGCCTCCAAGGGGCTGGAGGGATGTGGTGTCCCCCACCCTCCCAGGAGGGCAGCAGCACCTGGGCCTGAGGTGCCCGTGGAGAGGGCAAAGTGGTGGTCTCTGGTTGGGGGTGATGGGCTGCAGCTTGCCAAGTTTGCAAGGGGGCTCTCCAGCCTTCCTTCCTGTCTTTCCCAGGGCTAAGAGCTCCTTCTTCCTCCTCCTCTTCCTCCTCCTCCTCTTCCTCGCAGTCTCTAGATAGGCAGGGATGTTGGCCTGGAGGCAGCTCTGCTAGCCCCCCCCCCCACCGCTGTCCCCCACATGTCAGGAGCTGAACATCCTGCAGCAACCTGCTGTGCAGGGGGCAGGGTCCCGTGTCAGGATGCGTGAGTTTGTCTTCTCCCTCGGAAGCTTCTGTGATTTTTCGACTGTGAAGGATAAACAGCACAGCAGCCGCGCGTGTTCAGGTGCAGGAGCGTGGGAGACACAGCACACGGGGAAGCCGGCGGGCCAGAGCTCATTACAGGGGCTGGGGAAGGGAAGAGGAGAAAGAATTAAAATTAAAGCTGCTGATGGCGGAGTAACTCCCATGCTTGGAAGCGCACCTCAGTAGTGGTGGTTTGTGGCTGAGCAGGGCACAGCGGGCTGCTCGTCTCTTTTTTCCTGAGCACCTCGAGGAGCCAGTGTTTGCACCCTTCCCACTGACTTCCCTGACAATGGCTTTTCTCTTAGGAGGCTGACCTCTGCCCTCTCCCGGCCTCCTGACATTTCCTTCGGAGGCGTATTGGAGGTGGCCTGTCCACCCTCCCAGCAGCGCCGCCTTCCCAGCTTCAGGCTTTTCATCTTGCCCTTCAGCTGACTGTCTTCCTTCTCCCTGCCCCAGCGTGAAATGGAAACAGCAACATCTTCCCTCGTGCTGCTGGTCCTGGCCTGCACCTGCCTAGTTGTCAGCTCCTGCAGAACTGCCTCACTGGCCAGCGACCCTTGCAGCTCTGCTGGCAGAGGGGAGCTTGGGAGGCAGGGCCTGAGGAGGGGGAATTAAAATCCCAGCCAGAACTGCAAGTGGCAAATTTGCACAACCTGCCAGTTGCTCCGCCCCGACCTCCTTGGCTGCAAAGGAGCCTTGGGATGTCACGTGTGGGCTGTGCCCATTGCTGCCACACCTGGAACCTTGGAAAATGGTTCACGGCCATGAGCTTCCACATGGGTCCCCCCGGCCCATCACCTGGCATGGAGTGCCTTTGCCCAGCGGCACCTCAGGCAGACCTTGGAGCTGGCTTCCTGTACAGGTTCTGTCCCACACCGAGGAGGTGTCATGCAGGGGAGCCTGTTAGTAGGTGTCTTCTGCCTCTTAATGTCTGGGCCTGGACTCCCAGCCAAGATGGAAACATGTGGTCCCTGGAAGGAGCCCTGTGTAGCCTGTGTCAGGATCAGGGTCTGGGTCAGGGCGTCAGGATCAGGGCAGCTGCCACGATGCCCTCTGGGCAGAGGTCCCCTGGCTGCCCAGCAGAAATTGAACCTTATGGAGGATTCTCCATGCAAGGAGGTGCCTCGGTGGGCCGGGAAGGGTGGGGCCAGGTGCCTCCCTGGGCCTCCCAGCCTCCGTGGGCTCCTGGGGTTGTGACTGACTCCTAGGTCCCTGAGTGACAGGGTGATGGGGTGATGGCAGCTTAGGAAGTGGGCTGGACAGGAAGCAGCCTCTCTAGGTCCCCTTTTGGGGACCACGGCCAGCATGGTCTCAGCTCTCTGCCCCCTCCCTCCTTCCCACCTTCATTCTTGTCCTCAGCATCCTGAGGCCATGAGGCAGGGGTACGTGTGTGTGTGTGTGTGTGTGTGTGTGTGTGTGTGTGCAAGCTCACTGGCTGAGACCCTCGGGGAGAGGAACAGGTTAAATACAGGCGTGCTCTCAGCTCTGATTTTTCTCCTTGACGTTTGCCTTTGATTAGTGGCCCGGTGTCGCCCCTCCCCCAGCCCACATACCTGGGGATTGGATTTCACTTTGCTGTGTGTCCTGGCCCTGGGCCCTGAGTCCTAGGGGGAGGGTTAGGGTTCCGGTTCTGAGCTCTCCTGCCCCAGCCCGTGCTGCTGGCTGGAGGTCCTTTCTGTGCAGCATCGAGGACTGGTGCTGTGAGTGCCCATCCCTAGCCTGCCCCAGGGCTGTGGCACTTGGCAAGGCTCTCTCTCATTTTCTGTTCTCCTTTCCACCATCTCCAGGTGCTTGAGGGCTGGCCAGGAGCTGGGCCAGCACAGGTCATCTCCCAGGAGGGAGGGTTGTTTGAAGTTTAGTCACAGTAGTACAACCAGATTCTGCCCTACTCCATCCCTCCAGGTTCTGCCCCAGCAGAGCCCAGCCCTGCCACCCCTGCTGTTCTTTGCAGGGGCAGAAAGGGTGGAGGGCCACTGACAGGAAGTCCTGAACCCTGGCAGTATGCACTGTGTTCCCAGCGACATCTGTGCTGCTGTGTCCACTCCTTCCAGCCCTGCTGGGCTCCTGTCTAGCTTGCTCTGTCTGTCTCTGTCTCTCTCTCTCACACACGCGTGCGCACACACACACACACACACACACACACACACACACACACTCACACGGGTACCCCTGCCTCATGGCCTCAGGATGCTGAGGACAAGAATGAAGGTGGGAAGGAGGGAGGGGGCAGAGAGCTGAGACCATACCCTCCCAGCCACAGCGGGTGCAGCAGCACCCTTTGTGTCTGTGTGGGGGGGTGTTCCTGCTGATTTAGGCAGCCTCCCCCAGCAGCCTGCAATTGTAGCCTAGACTGCGTGCAGTTCACTTGGTGGTAGAAGCTGAAGGAAGAAAGCCCTGGGAATCCGACCCCCAGGGCCATGGAGGCTGCCAACATTGCTCCAGTTGGCTTCTTTTCCGCTGTCCATTTTGCCCCTGGCTTGGCTAAATCATTTCACTGGCACCTTTGCAGGCCCGTGGGCCCAGGCCCCCAGGAGGTCGTCAGATACTTGGCTCACACACCCTGTGCCAAGTGCACAGAGAAGCACTCAGCCCTCGTTGCCTTGGAAACCATGCAGTGTTGTTCTTGTGGAACAGAATCCCCCTACGTCCCCAGATGCCTAGTCATCAGTAACTGTCCCAAATGGAGAACAGTGTTTCTCTGGGTGGGTGACAGATGGAGTCAATGAGGTGTGGGGTCACCCCAGGCTAACCGCTGTCCATCACCCGGGCCCAGGGCTTTGGAATCTGAGCTGGAGTTTTGCCTTGTGTTGGGCCCAGCAGGCAGAGGGGGAGGAAGCAGCATGTTCTCCCTGGATGTGCCTTGGCCTCTGGGCAGGGATGTGTTTTCTGCCTCTCTCCTGGCAGCCTCTGATGCTTGCTGCTTAAGTCTGTGCTTGGGAGGGCTTGCAGGGCTGAGCAGGTGACAGAAGCCCAGGTGTGTACCTGGGGGTGTCCATGGGTGTCCAGATCTGAATGTCAGGGAAGTCTGAACTTTTCCTCTGGAGGTTTGATTGTGTGACCGTGAAATGAACTGACTGTAGGCAGGTGGGCAGGAAGCATAGAGTTTACTACATGGATAGACTGGAGTCAGGTACGAGGTCTTAAAATTTCAAGTTGAAGCTGAAGTAGCATTTCTAGCTACGGGAGGGCTGGAGAATGCGGGATTGGAGGGTCAGCAGGGGTGACCACACAGGGGAGGAGAGGGGCAGGAACTCCCCCTGCAAAGCTCGCTGCGCAGCTCAAGATTCCGGCAGGTGACACTCCTGTGGTGATGTCCAGACTTGGCTGAGCAGAGCTGAGAGAGCAAACCTCTGTCTATCCAGCTGTTTGCTGCTAGAGACAGCTGTCTGTCTCTTCCGGGCAGGGGCCTGGCTGCCTTTGCTAACCTCCTGACTGCTGCACAGGGACCGGAGTCTCAGCAGGTGCCGCTGGCCTGGGCCCTCTCTGGGTCCGTCACCTCGCCTGCTGATCCCTCAGAACCACTGCAGGCAGAGGCCGCCCTTCCCCCTGCTGCCTCCTTTGCAGGAGCCCCTGGTAGCTTGCTGCTTGCAAGGTGCTGGCAGAGCTTGGCTGGTGGCGTCACTCTGTCTGCTGCTACTCTTGGGAATCCACTGGAAAATCGAAGCCATTACAGTCTGCCCCCTCCTCCCCGTACCTCCCTGGGGGGCCCTGCGTCAGTGCCACTTGCCGGTGACCTTGGTTAGTGACCCCCTTGGTGCTGAGCAGATGCCCGCTAAGTGGCTGGGGTCCAGGACTGAAGACTTCTGCTGGCGTGACAGACAGGCAGGTTCAAGGACCGCAGCCTCCACACTCTCATTGTTTCCCCCGGGGTGGGAGGGGGAACAGGGCCAAGCAGGAAAAGCACGGCCCCTCTTGGGAAGGGTTCGGCCCTGCTTTCTGAGCCCCAGCCCCCACCAGACTGGGACCCCTGCTGTGCTGGGAGCTCAGGGCCAGCACAGCACCTGCACCTGACTCACCCAGTCCCAGGACACCTGCCTGGCGATCCTCCTTGCTGCCCCAGGCTTAAGAGGGGGCTAAGCAGGAAGTTGGAGGCAGAGCCTGGACTAGAAGCTCCAGGCTCCTGGGCTGGCGTCCCTGGTGTCCTCCCGGCTTGTCCTAGCTCTCTGAGATGGAGGGGTGTTTGTTTGGACGGTAGCAGTGCCTTGCCAGTGCACCGTGAAGTATGTGAAAGCAGAGGTGTGGTCACGGCCTAGGTGATGGCAGTAAGCCCTGCTAAGTCAAACTGTACCTGCCACAGCCAAGGAGCCCTCTAGGGGGCTGTGAGTGCGCCCTCGGAGCCTCAGCCCCTGGGGACTTCACCCACCCCTGGGGACGCTCACCTAGGGCGGCCTTCCCTACCCTGCCCCTGCCATCCACAGGAGGAGCGGCCCCCTGCCCAGCGCACCCGGAGGAGCTCAGTGGGTGGCGTGTGCTACCTGTCCGTGGGTGTGGTCGTGCTGCTGCTGAGCCTGGCCTTCGCCTCCGTCTACATCTACAGATACTTCTTCCTTGCTCAGGTGAGGGACCTGGGGAGGCAGGCGAACACCCACCCCCGCAGGGCCTCCTACCCCGCCCTGGCTCCTCCTACCCCGCCCTGGCTCTCCCTACCCCACCCTGGCTCCTCCTACCCTGCCCTGGCTCCTCCTACCCTGCCCTGGCTCCTCCTACCCCGCCCTGGCTCCCCCTACCCCGCCCTGGCTCCCCCTACCCCGCCCTGGCTCCCCCTACCCTGCCCTGGCTCCTCCTACCCTGCCCTGGCTCCTCCTACCCCGCCCTGGCTCCCCCTACCCTGCCCTGGCTCCTCCTACCCCGCTCTGGCTCCCCCTACCCTACCCCGCCCTGGCTCCTCCTACCCTGCCCTGGCTCCCCCTATCCTACCCTACCCTGCCTGCTTCCTCCTACCCTGCCCTGGCTCCCCCTACCCCACCCTGGCTCCTCCTACAAGGCCTCCCCATTTCACAGCTACAGAAGGTTCCTTAGGAATCTTTGTATTTTACAGCTGGGGAACTAAGGCCCTGAGAGGCCGTTCACTTCGGCACCAGCAGATAGGCTCATGGGGCCTTGTCCGAGGCTGGGCTCACCGTCCGTACTGGCCCCAGCAGACCCCAGCTTTGACCGAAGGCCTCACATTTCTGAGTTTGTCCCTTTGTGAGACGGGTCTCATGGTGCCACCTGCCCTGCTTCCCCAGGCCAGGATGGGGAGGGAAGTTGTCCACGCCGACTGCACCTGTAACCCATGTGCCTCTTGCCCAGCTGGCCCGGGACAACTTCTTCCACTGTGGCGTGCTGTATGAGGACTCGCTGTCATCCCAGCTGCGCACCCGGCTGGAGCTGGAAGAGGACGTGAAAATCTACCTCGAGGAGAACTATGAACGCATCAACGTTCCTGTGCCCCAGTTTGGCGGCGGTGACCCTGCAGACATCATCCACGACTTCCAGCGGGTGAGGTCAAGCCTGCGGCAGGCCAAGGAGGGGTGCCCCGGGGCCCAGCACACGGACAACACTGCACAGCGGCCATGTTTGCACACTGGCCACAGCCTAGTGTGAGCGGCCTCCCTGGCCACCGGGTAACTGCAGGTGCTGGTGGGCCTGTGAGTCGGGGGTGCCCCATCTCTGCTCCCAAGTTCCCTGGGGGCACAGTGCATCCTCCAAGGTACAAGGGAAGCTCGACAGCTTGAAACCCTCCAGTGTCCTGGCGCTTCCCTGTGCTCCTTCTTTTCTGGCCACCCCTGCCCAAAGTAGCAACTTGTTGGCAGCAAGACAAATGCTCCCAGCCTTCCCTGGCCAGCACCTGCTGCTCAGGGGCTGTGATGGCCAGCCCTCCCCTCCATGTCCCAATTGTGCTCCCAGCAGACACAGGGCACTTGACAACAGGGCACCTCTCCAGGGACACGGGGTAGGTGGGGCACAGGATTGGGGAGCCCAGCCCTACAGACCCCTAAGCAGGTGCAGCCTCTAACACACCAGAGTTTGCACTTGATCCGTGGGCAAATATGGGCTCTGGAGGCACAGTGCAGACCAAGGGCATAGGCCATTGCCTGCCTTCCAGGTTCCTGGACATGGCTCATGGGGTCCTGTCATCTCTGCTGGCCTAAAACTTGGAGGCAGCCTGGCCCCAGCCCCAGCCCTAGCCCAGGCCGGGGCCTGACACAGCCTCTCCTGCCCAGGGTCTCACCGCCTATCACGACATCTCACTGGACAAGTGCTACGTCATCGAACTCAACACTACCATTGTGCTGCCCCCTCGCAACTTTTGGGAGCTCCTCATGAACGTGAAGGCGAGCCCCACCCCCAGGGTGTGGTGGAGGGGAGAGGGTCCTTAGCAGTGGGGGAGGGGAGGCCCAAGGCCAGCACTCCAACCTGCCTCTGCTTGGCGGACCTCCCGTTGGCCATGTCCCCACAGTACCCACCCTCTGCAGTGGGAGTTGCTTGGCATTGGTTCCCACCGCGGAGGCACAGTTGCTACCCTGGGAGTCGTAGGTGGCTGGGTGATAGCCCCAGGGGTGTGTGTGTATGTATTGGGGGGTGAGGGTGATCGGGCATGGGCAGGGGACGGAGCAGCGTGGGTGCTGACCGAGCCCTGGGGCCGCCCCTCGCAGAGAGGGGCCTACCTTCCACAGACCTACATCATCCAGGAGGAGATGGTGGTGAGCGAGCCTGTCAGTGACAAGGAGGCCCTGGGTGCCTTCATCTACCACCTGTGTGACGGGAAGGACACCTACCGGCTGCGGCGCCGGACGGCTCACAGGCGTGAGTGGCCTCTGTCCCCGGGGGAGCCCGACACTGGAATCCCACATGGCTGTCATAGCCAGTGGTCGGGGGAGCACTCCTGGGACCTGGGGTGGCTTTGGACGATGTTCTGCCCATAGGAGGGTGCCTGAGGCACCTGGAGGACCATCAGTCATAGCAAGGCAAGGGGTGTCTGGACAGTCTGATTCATTTATTTGTAATATGAAATTGATCTTCCATCCACTGGTTTTCTCCCTAAATGCCCACCATAGTGAGGGCTGGGCCAAGTCACAGAGCCAGGAGCCAGGAACTGTACATGGCTGTCAGGGACCCAAGCACTTGGGCCATCACCCTCGGCCTCCCCAGGGGTGCTAGGAGGAAGCTGGATCAGGGGACTTCATCTGGCACTGGTGCAGGAGTCTCAAGCCATGGCCCGGCCCCCTGTGCCACAAATGCCCACTCCTCCCTTGCTGGAGCTGTGACTGACAGTCACTCCAGGGCCGCCTCCTGCACCAGGGTCCCGGGGCTCCCAGACTGGCGGGCTCAGTGGTCTGGCTAGTTTCCACGCAGGTCCAGGCTTCACTGGGTTTTCCCTGTCCTCCCAGGCATCAACAAGCGAGGGGCCGAGAACTGCAACGCCATCCGCCACTTTGAGAACACCTTCGTAGTGGAGACAGTCATCTGCAGGGCCGCGTGAGGCCGGCCCCCCTCCGGGCCCTGCCCCTGCCCTCCTCCTCCACCACCTGCTCCTCCTCCTCTCGGGCTGCCCAGGCCCTGCCCCTACCCACCTCCTCCTCTGGGCCACCCGGGCCCTGGACCCTGCCCTCCTCTTCCTCCACGTTCTCCACCTCCTCCTCCTCTGGGCCGCCCAGACCCTGGACCCTGCCCTCGCTTTGCTTGTACTTTGGATGCCTTTGTTTTCCCTAAATGTGATCTGTCCCCATCCCTGTCTGGCCCTCCCCAACTCCGTACCAGAGCTCCTGAGGCCCCGCCCTGCTGACCCTGGATTGGGGGAGGGGCACCATCACATCGCTGTAGCCACCTTCATGTCAGGCCTTACCAAGGGCAGTGCCACGAGGCAGGAACCCACAGGTGAGGGTGGCGGTTTGGGAGGACAGAGATGGGGTCGGGCCCCTTGGTATGGCTTCTCCCTTGCACAGTGCCGCTCCCCGGCCAGGCTGAGGCTGGAGGGAGACTCCCCCAGAGCACAAGAGAAGGTGGTTGTCCTAGGGTCTCCCCCGGACTCCTGTGAGTGCCTTGAGCCCACCAGCAGGACCCTGGCATTGGGGGGCGGGGCGGGGGGAATGTTTGTCAAGCACAATTGTTTTCGGAGTGGAACCAAAGAAGCCAGAAGCCAGCGCCCCCTGCTGGGCACCAGCAGTGCAGGCGGGATTCCTGCAAGAAAGCTTGGGGGAGTGGGGAGGCTGTGTTGTGGGACTGTGTGGTGGCTGGGGACAAGCTGCTGGTTCCAAGCCCTGGCCATTGCCTCCGGCAGGCAGAACCAAGGATGGGGGTGGGGGCCACCTGGTACTTGTCTGTCCTGCTCCTCTGTTCCAGCTCCCACCCCCTGCCCTAGAGGGGGTGCAGTGCCCTCCCAGGCCCCTCACCCACCTCTGCATGATTTTTCTGGGATTCGCTCGCCGCTGTCAGCCCAGGAGAGGAGAGCCCTTGGCTGCGCCCTGCCAGCCGGGGGTGGGCGTTTTCTGCAGATGAGGCTCTTACAGGCTTTGTATATTTTCTGTTCAATCTCTTTTCAGAAGTGTCTATGGAACAATAAAGTCTTTTACTTCTGACTTCAGCTTGGGTTGGCAAGATGGGGGCCCCATGGGGGCTAAGAGGTGCTAGGGGGCCCCTGGCAGGGATATAAGCCAGCAGATCCTGACCCCTCTGTGATGACTGCTTCCTGGTTGGGCCAGAGCGGGTAGGCTGTTCCCTTTTATCATCTCCCCCATTCCCCTGACCACTTGTGAGGACGGGCGAGGTCACGTGTTACAGGTGAGGGGGAGGGTGAAAGCACGGGCTTGCAGAACCCATCCAAGGCCAAGTGCCTGTAGACTGTCCTGTTCTCCAGGATTGAAAACTAACTTCTGTCTTTGTGTTGTTGGTGGAAAGTCAGATATACAGAGAATAGAGACAGGAAGACCTTCCATCCCCTGGTTCACTCCCACGTGACCACAGTGGCCAGAGCTGAGCCAATCTGAAGCCAGGAGCTTCTTCCGGGTCTCCCGCACGGGTGCAGGGTCCCAAGGCTTTGGGCCATCCTCGACTGCTTTCCCAGGCCACAAGCAGGGAGCTGGATGGGAAGCGGGGCTGCCAGGGCCATGAACCAGCACCCATATGGGATGTGAGTGCGTGCAAGGCGAGGACTTCAGCCACTAGGGTACCACGTGAGGCAGGGTGACACTTTCATGTCAGTGGGGGCACATGGACTGCTGCCCATTGGGGCAGGAGGATGCTGGACCCTGCTTCCACAGGCAGTTCCAAAGGAGTCAAGTTGAAGTACAAAGGTGACCTGGCCTTGAGGGAGGAAGGGGCCTTGTGCACATTATATTCAGCAAGAGGAAGCTGCGCTCTGCGAGGGGGAGACTTCCTGACACATGGGCCTAGGGGAAAGGGCTGTTTTCCCCAATCTGTGAAGTTCTGCTGTGGACAGCCCTGCTCACGGTGGGGGACGTGTGAGTGAATCACGCCCCTCCAAGGGCGCATTTGATCATAGCCATGGAGGAACTGCAGGCCAAGCAAGGATGCGGTCGGCATATCTGGTTAGGTGGGGGAAGTTTTTGTTTTTTGCATGTTTTATATTGTGAAGCACTAATCACATTGCAAGGCAAAGCATGGACTACACGTGTCTGAAGACTCACTAGGTTCACTTAGAGAACAAGCCTGCTGGGTCTGGCGCAGTAGCCTAGTCCTCACCTTGCATGCTCTGGAATCCCACGTGGGCATCAGTTCTAATCCTGGTGACCCTGATTCCCATCCAGCTCCCTGCTTGTAGCCTGGGAAAGGTGTTGAGTCTGGCCCAAAGCCTTGGGACCCTGCACCTGTGTGGGAGACCCAGAAAAACCTCCTAGCTTCAGATTGGCTCAGCTCTGGCCATTGTTGCCACTTGGGGAGTAAACCAGGGGATGCAAGATCTTCCTCCTTTGTCTCTCCTCTTCTCTATATATCTGACTTTCAAAAAAAAACAAGTCTGCTGACACCCAGAAAATTCTATGCTTCCCCCAGCCCCGGCCCACACTCCATTACTGTGCGGCCCCCTGTTGGGAGTTGCTCAGCTCAGCAGCCAGCTTGCAGCCCTGCTTTGTTTGTGGGAGCATGGCTGAGACGGCCATGGTCCTGCCGGGCAGCCTCACCGCTGGCAGAGGGCCTCGGGGAGCACGTTGGCGCCCACGTGCCGGAATGTGGCCTCATAGCTCCCCGTTGATCAGTCCATTCGGTGTGGGGAGGAGGCGAGGTTGCAGCGTGGAGAGGAGCTTCCTCATGTCCAGCCCTTGACCTCCATCCGCCCCCACCAGCCCTGCTCTGCTTCAGTTTCCTGTGAGCTGTGGCAAGGACCGGAGCTGGTGCAGACACACGGCTATTCTTAGCTCGCAGGCAGCTGGAGCTCTGCCCGTCTCCCATAGGTCAGCCCATTTGAGTCTAACGAGCCAACTGGGTGACTCTGCTTTCTGCTTGCCCTAAATCTAAGAACCTTAATGCGGATTTTGCTTGGATTTGAGCTTTGAAAAAGTGGCGACAACATACACGTCTTGTTCCCCCCACTTGCCTTTTCCCTTCCGTCTTGTCTTCCTAGGGTTTGTCTGCGTCGGTGCCTCTAGTACGGTTGCTTCGCCTCCTCAGGCCATTCCAGGAGCACACACCCTTCAGAGCCCGCTGATAGTGGCTGGTGGGGCTCTGTGGGTTGTAGTTCCAATACTTGCGCAAGCGTTCTTTAAGATTTATTTATTTTTATTGGAGAGTCAGATATACATTGAGGAGGAGTGACAGAGGAAGATCTTCCATCCACTGGTTCACTCCCCAAGTGGCCAACCACAATGACTGGAACTGAGCTGATCCGAAGCCAGGAGCCAGGAGCTTCTTCCAGGCCTCCCACACGGGTGCAAAGATTTGGGCCATCCTCAACTGCTTTCCCAGGCCACAAGCAGGGAGCTGGATGGGAATTGGAGCAGCTGGGATACAAACCGGCACCGATACGGGATTCTGGCAATATGGGTACAAGGCGAGGACTTTAGCTGCTAGGCTACCGTGCCGGGTCCATGAACATTCCATATGAGGCCACTGCTACCCTGAGTAAGGTTATCTCTATACGTATATAAATATCTGTGTATGCATGTGTCTCAGGGTGGCAGTCTCCAGCCCCGGGGAAGGATGTGGAAGACGCACACTCTCACTCTTGTATCCGAAGTGGCTCCTGCAGATGCCTGCTTTTACTCCCTGTGTCAGAAGTGTATACACACACGCATAGAATGTCTGTGTGTACCCAGAGTGTGAGCGTGGAGAACCGTACAAGTCAGAGTGTAAGGACGTGCAGAACCGTACAAGGCTGTTTTTGGTAAGAACCAGCTGCCAGGCCGGCCAGCCCTGCCAGGCTGCCACCTCATTCCACGCTCTTGCCAGCTAGCTACTCAGGGTTCCATGCTGACAGGTGAGGTGCAAAGTGGCATTTTGGGGCAGGCATTTGGTACAGCTGTGCCATCATTGCCTGTGACACCTACATCCCACAGGGCACCTGGTTCAAGGCCCAGCTCCTCTGCTTCCAATTTTCTGCCAGCGCACTCTGGGTGGTGGCTCAAGTCTTGGGTCTCTACCACCTGCAGAGATCTGAATGGAGGGATTCTTGCTGGTCCTGGCACTTGGGGTGTGAACCCGTTGGTAAGCAGCCTCTCTTTTTCTCTCTCTTTCAAATGAGTTTTGTAAATGGCATGTCATTATGCTTTTAATTTCATCTCTGTGATGGCTAAGAAACTAGGATAAGTTTCCTAGGCTTACTGGATCCTCAAATTTTCTTTTTTTTTTTTTGTTCCAATAATTAATTAAAACTTTTCTTTTTCTTGCTTGTCCTGCCTCGTGAGCTAAGTACTGTAGCTCACCAGAGTGACACTTGCAGATCTTTTTCTGTTCCTGATTTCATGAAGAATTCCCCTTGTCTATAATTTAGCAATAGAGTACTCCTTTGGGAATTATAGAGGCTTTCCTCTACTCTTAGTTTTTCAGTGTTTTTAACCAGAGATGGATGCTAAATCATTTCATCCATTTTTTTCTGCTTCTATCCATATTCAAAAGTTTGTAGGAAATGAAAATAAAAGATAAATTTATTTCTGTGGCAAAAATCAAAATACTTGAATTTTTTTTCAAATGTACACTTTGCCGTGAGCTTTCTGTACAATCATATCCATTTGTTTGATCCATCAATACAGTGAATAACTGCCATCAGCTGATTGGCCCAAGATATGTTTTCCTGTTTCTATACTGGTGGATATCATGTGCTAATGCTTTATTTAGGAACTGTAGAGATTATTATTTATTATTGGAAAGGCAGATTTACAGAGAGAAAGATCTTCGTCCTCTGGTTCACTCCCCAAGTGCTTGCAATGGCTGGAGCCAAGATAATCCAAAGCCAGGAGCCAGGAGCATCTTCCGTATCTCCCGTGTGCCATATGGAATTGCAGCATGTTCAAAGCAAGGATTTATTTACTGAGCAATCATGCT